GAAATCCTTGTAATGTTTACTAATAATCTGCAAAATTTTGTAAAGACTTGCATACATTTCACATTTTCAAAAATTATAGTACAATTACTCTCATAGATACTTTCCTGGTTACGAGCTGGGTTGAATCCACCCAGCCCATAATGGAAGGGTTAAATAATGCTGTTATTATACCCACGTGATCACTGGTTTAAGTCATGACCCCATCTATGATAAATGCTCATTTATCTTAAGGTCCTTAATTACTTTTTTTTGCAATAAAACCTGAAACACTAGGTGGATGGGGAAATGACTTAAAACATATATCGTCAGTTATGTCTTTTTGGTTTCATAACTCCATGTTTTCAACATCTTGTATATACTAAACCTTTCTACATGGTTTGAATAAATAAAATTAATCCAAGTTTTTCAAACACACACCAAGAACCATAGGGAAAGCAAATCCTTTTTTATTCAATTTCTGTCCTATGATACGGTTTACTGCTATTTCAGCACACTTATAGGTCACATGGAAACTCTCCGATACCTTCTGCATTTTTTATATGCAAAAATATCTTTTGCCATTGACACTATAACTTTAATCGTGGCAGAAGTTTCAACTAGGAATTCAGGAATGATGTTGAGTTTCAATAAATATCTCTGAGTTTCAATTGGTACCACATCATTGTGACTTGTTTTATCATTAACCGAGATGATACATCTTACTTTGATCCTAAGTGTAAAAAAATGCAAATACTTTATATTTATGATGAAAAATAATAAAAGACAGTATATTTGTCATCATCTGCTATTTTTGTTTTAATTGGCAACAAAACAAATATCCGATCTTAAGATCAGAACACTAAGTAACCTTTAATTGCAGTTGAAACCAATCATGATTCAGTTTGCAGTTAAAAATTTTGGAAAATCTTAAAAATGATAAATGGTTTAAGTGGCATGACAAAGACTATTGTTAATTAAAACAATGATATAAATTACACTATTCTACTGTAAAAATGGACCAGTTTAGTGTAGTTATTATTTATCCAACAGCCATAAACTCAAAAGTATCCAATCCTTGCCGAAGTTCACTTTGAATACACACTTTTTAATCTCAGGGACTCATCAACCACAGACCAACCTCAAAGCTTTTTGAAAAAAACAACTCATTTTAGAAGCTAAGATATCGTACTTGGTAAAATAGGTAGATATTTGCTGACCAGAATTAATAAGACAGTTACACTATAGCAGATACAATTTCTGTAAACCAACAGGATAACTGGAATTTACCATTTTCCATTGAAAATCTTGCACTACAACTCAAAGAACCAAAATTCAATATAGATCTAAGTATGAAAATTAGCAATATCTGGATGCTCATTTTCCACTACAACAAAAGCCAAACCCCTAGCTCTCTTGTCTGGTTAAATTCTATGTTCTCCCAATTGTATTTTGCATCAAGTTTCAGATCTAAACTTAACAGCCATTCACCTCAGTTATAACTTTAATTGCTTTGAGCCATGCCAACAATCACCACTTGTTTTATTATGTAAAAATGATGGGTGTAACTTATTATACCTTACAACATGAATTACTAGCCAATTCAAAGTATACAGAGAAAACTGGTTTCACTCTTTACCATTGTTATTATGTAAACTTTGTAAATTGAACATGTGATGCCAAAATAAATAAAGCTTATAGTGTGCAATGAGCAATTCACAGGAAAAAAAAATCTGTTCATTTTTTGTTAATAAAATATCCTAAAATTGAAAATTTCAAAAAATCATATTAGGCAGAAAAGAACCTGTTAACCTTTTATTAATGAAATATCTCTAAAATTGAATTTTCAGAAAATCATATTAGGCAGAAAAGAACCTGTTAACCTTTTATTAATGAAATATCTCATAAATTGAATTTTCAGAAAATCACACATAGCTATTATAACAAAGCTAAAAACAATAACTGCTTAATATTATTACCAATTTCTCCCATTAAACTTGAATAAGTTGGTTACATTGCCTCTTTTCTCACACCATACAGTCATAAATAAAATAAAAAATATAAATTGAAACGTAATCCAGCACAATTTGTTAAAACACATAGTTCAAGTATAAATTGTTAAAACAACCGTTTATTTTTAACATATTTTAACACTATGATATATCTTCATTTTTCTTACATTAATGAGTTCACTCTTCACTAAAAAAAAAATTTGCTTTAGGTTTAGGTCAGTATTTTGTACTATATTTTTTACAGCTTGTTTCTGTCTTCAAACTCATGCAGAGAAATTGTACCTTTCAAACAGTTAATGAAAATACCAGTACAGCCATGTAACAGATCAGCCAAAATCAGAAAAATTAACAGAAAAAAAACAAAAACATTATAAACAAAAAATTATCCTAACTTTATATAATCAATAGTTTGAGATTTAATAAGGTTAAAAACTGTCAAACCTGACCAATTTTCAAATCATTTTTTTTACACCAATTGAACACGTTTTACATGTTTTTTTGTACACTGAAGCTATATTTCTTACAATACAGTTAACTTATAGATCAAGATGTTGCATCTATTTCTGAAGAGGTATGTCTGGAATATTAATTTCACTAGCATATTCAATTTTATGGAAAAAATACAAAACCATACCTGACTGTTTAGAAGGAAGACCAACAATAATAGTGCCAGCTCTAAAGTTAAAAAATAAAAAGAAACAATTAACATAATTTTGAAGTCTATTCTATTTAATTTTTCATTTACAAAAGTTGCTCATTCAAGTTATGTTCCATCGAAATACAGATAAATGACAAGGCCAAGTTTGAAAAGGCCCGATTCTAGCACTTTTTTTATGACACAGTAAGAAATTATACAATTTATATGCGACTCTTGAGATTTTCAATAAAATAACATAAATCGTTCCTTATCATCAACAGTGCCATTTCTCTGAAAGTTTGGAACCAGAAACATATTTACAACATTGAACTAGAGATCAGTCAGTTTACATTAGAGTTCAAAAAATGAAATACGGTCACGCTGGCAAACGTGTTTTACAAACATAAACACATCAAAATATTACAGAGAGAGACAAAAACGCCTATTGTTATTTGTAAAAAAACCAATAATTAAGAGCATTTGAATATGCTTGTTTCAAAATCAAATTGGATTACAGTGGAGAATTTAGGCAATAATATGGTTAATTTTGGCTTTGGTTAATTTAATATCTTGGATAATCAGCTGTTGTGGTTATCAAAATCAATATCATCTCAAGGGTTTATACAGGGCCTTGAAAACTCTATGAATTTCATTTTTGACTTTTGAGGGCTATGAAACCTCTCTGAATTTCAATAAAACCTAAAAGGTAATTGAAATATTCCTAAATTTTAATATTTCATATATGAAAATGAAAACACAAGAACAAAACATATATATCTTTGTTTCTAACAAAGAAAAGGGAAGTAAAACAATTGAATTCTCACGGACTTGTGTCTTACTTTTCTTAGTTATTTTCTACCAGTTGTTGTGCTACTGTAATGTATATTCTGAAGATAATTTATATTAAATATTCAACTTCTTCACACTAGATACAGACTTCTAACCAAGTAAAAAAAGAAGCAAGAGATGAATAGGTTAGCCTTGGTTCTGTTAAGCGTAAGGCTGTGTTACTAAATGGCCAAAAAGACTTTTTTCATAGCATTTTCCTGTTGTGAATATAAGTATACATGTTTCTAATGAATATTATAAAACTTTCAGAAAGCTATTTTAATCAAAGTTTTGAGAACTGTTGAAGCACTAGCTGAACACTAATGAAGTTTGTAAATATAATGTAGTAGCCATATCGCTAACCTATTCTGTTGAATCACTAGCTGAACACCAATGAAGTTTGTAAATATAATGTAGTAGCCATATCGCTAACCTATTCTGTTGAATCACTAGCTGAACACTAATGAAGTTTGTAAATATAATGTAGTAGCCATATCGCTAACCTATTCTATTGAATCACTAATGAAGTTTGTAAATATAATGTAGTAGCCATATCGCTAACCTATTCTTATTTCAGATTTTCTTAATTGTATTAGTTGACATGTTAAAAGAAACATGCAGAAGTTGAGGTATATAATGATGTACTGAAGTAGAATGTACAAAGTGTCAAAACCTACCTCTGCTAAGAAAAATCACAAACAAAAAGAAAATTCCATACCTATTTACCTTAATCTTAAACTAAATGTATTAAGAAACATTTTATATTTGGCCTAAACACACCTCAAGACACATTCATATAATTAGGAATGCCTTAGTTATATCATAAATTCTGAGGTGATTTATGGCAAGATAAATATTTAATAATAATAATCAAATTAGATGCAACTTCCATATACAACACTAATACTTGTGGCGTAGTAATACTCAGTAGATACTTGTCTAGTATGTATTATAAAAATATTTTACACCTCAGCAACTCTTATAAATAAAACTGCTGAACCTTATATTTCATAAAAACAAAAAAATAACTTATACCTTAGTAACTCTTATAAAAAATTACTTACACCTCAACTATTCTTATAAAAATATAAAACTTAATACCTTTGTAACTATAATAAAAACAAAAAGTAAGTACTTCATATCCTTCTAACTCTGAAAAAAAAAACAATTAGGTTTATTTTACACATGTTCACATTAAAAAACCCAACCAAAATGTAAGCTTTATCTCTTATGAACACCAATGTATTTAAGGTTATGTCATTCCAAGTAGTAAATTAAACCACTGTTGTAATATCAGATTGGTATATTTATGAAAGGAACAGAAAGAAGAAAGAAAAATAAAACATTGCTAGGTACAATAAAAGCAAATGACTTGAAATATTAACTGTAGGAGAAAAAAACAGAAAAACTAATATACTGACAAATAATATATATTTCATAAAACTATTTTTTGCCCAGGTTGCCTCTGGCATTACTCTATAACATATCCAATTTATTATTATTATTAAGATTAAACAAATTAAAGCTAAAACTACTAAGCTACTAACTACTAAGAAATTAAAAATATGTTTCTAGATATACAATCTTACAATAAGTTTTATTGTTATAAATACATGAAAAAATTTTGCTGACGCCAAGCAAAAGTCCAGAGAAACCAATCAGAATATGGTTTATGAAAGTCCTGTCAGCAGATAGTGCATTTGATATTTTGTTTCACATTCATTACTTTCACACATAAGTTTTAAGAATAAGCTTTATTTTGCTATACCCCTACTCTTTGTAAGCCAAGTGTAATTATATTTTATATTAACTACATGAGGGTACCAATTAAGAAAGCAAACACTGTTTAAAGGATAACGTCTGATAATATTGCCCTTCTTTCCTTCTTAAATCCCTAATGATCTTATTAGGTGCTAATTGTATACCCTGCTATGTGGAAAGTAATAATGGACTCATTCAAATGATTAAGTGCTTGTGTCTATATTCAAAACCAAACGTGTATAAAAAAATCAAAATATGCCCTACTTTTTTATTTCACCCCTCCTCCCTTCTAAGGCAAAAGTCCTAAAACAATATAGTCCACATACACCATTGGATAGTTTCCAGCTACCACACAAAAATTTGTGGTAATTGAGCCAGCCAACTCTAGGTGATTGTAAGGCAAAAGTGTGTGTGTGTGTGTGTGTGTATATATATATATATATATATAAGATATGTCCTTTAGTTTTTAGGGTTTTTCCTTCCTTTCCCTCGTCTCTAGAACAAAACTACCTAAAAAAGT